TGAGAAAAAAGAAGTGGGAAGCCAAAGAGATGATGGAAAGACTGGAGACTTCTTTATTCTTGTTTCTCTAGATTCTTAAATCTTTTGGAAGTCTTTGGAGGGTATTTTTTCTTGTCAGTTTTCTTTCTATAAAGGTGTTCTTGCCATAGACCTTTTAGGTGAGTTTCTTGTATTTAGTCGTAAAAATAAGCAAGAAAAGTATTTTGAAAAAAAAAAAATAAGTGGTGGCTTCTGCTCAAATGGCTAGTTATAACCAGTATTGTTTTTTAAAGAAAATGTATAGACTTTATTATCATAAAGACAAAAAATCTTTTGAGAACGTCTGTTTTTGGGTTGGCAAAAGAATCAGTGAAAAGAGTTTACATATTTTTATTATAGAAGTATATTTATATTAGTTACTAAAAAATATATTGGATATATAATTTTATTTTAAATATTATTATCAAAAATAATATTGTTTTTTTATATTAATTAATATATAATATAATAAGTATACAGATTTGTTAATATTTAATTAAATGAATTTAAAATAATAATTAATTAATAGAAATAAGCTAATTATATTTTTTAATAAAATTTTTTTATAGTATAATAGAATATATTATATATTATTAAAGGATATATATTATATATATTACTAATTTTTCAAGTCAATAATAAAAATAATTTTGATATAATGTTTAATTTTTGAATTAAAAAACAATTTTTTAAGCAAAAAATATAATTATTTAAAAAGATTTATATATTAATAAAAAGTAAAAATAAAAAAAATTTATAAAAAATAATTGTTATAGGCTTTTTTCTATACAATTTAAGAAAAAAGCAAGATTTTCATTTTTGTTTTTTTTTGATTAAATATTTCATTCAATATATTTCATTAGTTCTTTTATGGCTCTTTTTTATATATTTTTAAAGATTCAAGAAAAATAAAAAATACAAAATATATACTATATAATTGAATTTTGTTTTTTTTCTTTTTTAAGTTAGATTAATTTTTCTATACTAATATACATTTTAATAACTTTAATATATAATTAATTTTAAATTTTCTTTTTTACTATAAAAATTTAAAAAATGTTTAAATTGAATAATTCAAATTATTTTAAAACATATATAATATTTTTTTAAAAAAATTTTATATTTTTATTCTTTTGTTAAAAACAATCTCAAATTTTTCGATTAATATTTATTTCTTAAAAAGTTAAGTATTCAAGTATAAGGATATTTTAAAATAAAAGAATACTATTGGATTAATAAAGAAATTTTTACTATTAGTTCATTTAAAACCCTTGGATTTGTAATTTTAAATTGGAATATCAAAAATTCAATTAATTAAAATCAAGTTTATTTATTTAGTAATGATAGCAAATAATGATGTTGAAAATATAACTAATATGAATTGGTTGGCTAAGTTGTGTATTGTATTATATATTACATCTTGCGGTTTTTTATGGTACATTCAAATGATTGTTATAGAATATTGAATGTAGCTGATTTCGATTTCAATATACATATTTGTCGAAAGCCGGGTGAGATATTTTACCCTCAACTGGGATGACCATATAATGTATAAATTTTAGTTATTGCAACATAAATGAAGTAAAATTCATTCACAAAGCTCTGGATGACTAATATTGGTTAATGCAAAGGTTTGGACATATAAATTTTATCATTACGAACAAAACCATAATCATTCGGCGGTGGTTATGCCCTAATAACTTCAACTGATCCGTCTTCCATTACTACGGATCTATTTTTTGCTCGATCAACCAAATATTCTTCAAGAATAATAGCATTACGAGTGTTAGCCTTGTATAAGAAGTCGAAAAAATCCCCTATAAAAGGAGTCAATCCCAGCTTATAAAGAAAAAATGGTAATGGTAAATCAATGAATCCAACAGAAATGACTAATTCAGAATATAGAATTCAATCATACTCACCAACCAATCAATGAATACGTTAAAGAGCATTTGAGCAACAACATTACTAGGTAAATTAGCTTCCTTTGCTTTTTTCACCAAACTTAAGGCAAAAAACACACCCAAGAAATCTCCAATCACTGGTATTAAACCTGAAATTCCAAATTACATTAAAAATAGTACAAGTATAAAGTTGATCAAAATGATCATCGTACCTATTAGTGGATCAAGGCCAATCCTGAAACAACAACAAAAGCAAAACCCGTTATCCAAAATATGAGCTCTCTTTTTCACTTTTGTTAGGACTTTGGCCTCTTGTTTTGTCAAATTTGGTGGTATATTCCATTTATTTTTTTTTACTTTACCACTAGGCATCGTCAATTGTGTGTCATTACGCGAAGATATAGTATCGTTAGTAGTCTCAGCCGGCGTATTTTGATTTCGTTGTGAGGGTTGATCACTCACGGAACCACTACCAAATACATTTTTTATTACATGTTTTGCAACTTTTGTTTTGAAACTCATTTTTTCGAATTGGATCTAAAAAAATACTTGTTTTTCTATATTCTATATACTTTTACTTTTTTTTGGTTAAGGAAAGAAAATATTTTCGAGAACTAGCCTTGGAGGGGAGCTTTTTATAAAAGATCAGTTTGAGAGTACAATAAAGAAACGTTGGTTTGACGATTCATGCGTTTCAAAAAACAAAGGACGTTTTAAAACATCTGGACCTTTGTTTACAATACGATAAAATCTGGCTGAGATATTACGTAACATGAGATAAATTTACGACATTGTTGCCTTTTTTGGTTGATAAAGCCACGCTACGTATTGAGGACGAAATTCCAACGATTGTTTTTTTTTTAGTAGCATTATCTAAAAAAACAACTAAATATATTATATATTATATATTATATAATATAGAACACAGTATATAGTATTACTATAATTTAATATTAAATTATATTTTCTATTTTAAATTTAGATAAAGAGATATAATGAATTCTCTTTAAATGCACTTCCTTGGAACCATAGAAAATTTTTTTTAAAAGTATATATTTAAAGATAATATGCATTTATAAAAAGAATTTTATTAAAAGTTTATATATTTAAACTAAGCTTAACCATACATTTAAAGAGAAAAAATATAATAAGTGCATTTAAAGAGAAGGGTTTTCTGTATAGATTTTTAAATTATTATTGAATGTAATATACAGTATATTGTAATTTTTTTCTCAATATTATTAGTGTTTAAAATAATTTTATTATATAATTATTGAATCAAATATTTGAAACTATTTTGATTTAATATTATTACTATTTAAAAAATAAATAAAATCAATTTAATTTTAATATTAAAAAAATTTTTTTTATCAATTATTTTAACTTTTTATAAGATTTTTTATTTACCGTATAACAAGAGTTAATAATAATTATTTATTAAATTAAATTAATATTGGGATATTTCAAATCTAATAATTATTATATTAAATTAATATTAGCACTAATAATTACGAATGCTTTATATTGCTTAATATAAATCGATAATTTATAATTTATAATTTTCTATTTGTGATTTACAATTTATTGCTAATATTATAATAATAAATTATTTAATTATATTAAGTATCGTATTTTTAATACTAATTTTTTCTTACAAACAAAATGTTTTATATATCGAATATTAAACATTTAATTACATATCCAAAGAAAAACGCAAATATAAAAAAGCAATATGCTCGACATTCTTAAGACATTAAATTTTTAATAAGACTAAGTAAATTCTGAAAATTTAGATTTACAATTGAGAAAGCGAATCAGAATACCTAAATACAAGAGCAAGGTCAGAAGTAAAAATATAATAATAATAATAATAATAATAATAATAGTATAATATAATATTCAACAGTTATTAAGACGTAGATACTACCTCATAAATTCGAAATGTCTTCAACGGGTGATTTATGATCCTAAGCCATAAATCCAACTTATCGAATTATAGAAACTTAGCATGTTCATAAATAGAAGTAATCAAATATCATTTGGGTGGGTACGTAAACTGCGAATATTTCATGTAATTCGGGTTCTCAGCCAACCTCCACTGTTGGAGAAGCGGAGGAGGTAGGAGTTTTGTTGTCTGTAACGCCATCTTCTAATTCCTTTACCTCTTTTGGCCAGACTCCAACCAATCGAATCATACTACCCCAGACCAAGTCAGTAACCCACCTTGGCAGAAAGTCATGCATTAGAACATGCACTTTAGCGACTGTACCAACAACATAACGATCTTTAGGAAATCCTGCTTCCACTGCCTCAATAACAGTTCTCACTATTTCTCGCGGACTATCCTGTCCAGAATGCAACTTTTGCCAAAATTCAATTGCTTTCTGAATGTAATCTTCTCCGTAAAGAGTCAACGTTTGTTCCGTAATTTCAGGAGATGCAAAAAATTTCTTGGAAATTTCGACTAAATCAGGATTTGTCAATCTGCTTTTAATTGGGCCCGGTTCAATCATGGTTATGTGAATCTTCCATGGAAGCAATTCTACTCTTATCGTGTCAAGCATGGCTTCCAAGGCATGTTTTGATGCACTGTATGCACCGTAGAAAGGAAATGTAGTTCTACCTAATACAGAAGTCATGTTGATGATGCGAGGAGAGATATCTTGATCTTTCTTCAGTTTTTTTAGGTTATATTTGATGTTCTGTCGTAAGCTAGGTAATAATGCTTTGATAATTTTGATGGGACCCATAAAATTCACTTCCATAGTTTTTTCAATTTGTTCGCTTGAGGTGAATTCAAATGCGAAACCTTCATTACACCCGGCATTATTGATCAAAGCAAATAAGCCCTTTTCCTTTGTTTCATGGTTTACCATACGAACGCACTGTTTAATAGAATCCTCCTTCGTTACATCAAGCAAAAAAGGTCGGAAATTTGGTGCTGAATTATTCGCAAGAAAGTCTCTAAATGCAGCCTCTGTGAGACAACCTAAAAAATCAATATAACTTTAGTATTGTGAAGATGCAAAGTTTGATTATAATTCTTTATAATGTAAATTCTGCTATAGCTCACCGGCAAACACATAATAACCCCTTCTGTGTAATGCTTTTGCAATCAGGCCACCAATACCAGAATCACAACCAGTAACAAGTACATAACGATCCGCGAATTTTTTATTTGCTAGTGGAGATGAAAAAAAACTACTAACATATGATATTACACCCATTTGTTATGAGATGGGTAATGTGTATTTTATTTTAAATTCACCCAAATAAATTATATTTCAGTAGTTATTAATAAAATATATCGTTACGAAAAAGTGTTATATCTTTAGTTTCGTTTTCATTATGGTCGATGCCAAAAGTATAAGTTATATATGTAATAACACGTGATTAAAAATTATGTAATTGTGTGACGTTCTGAGAAGGGGTAATTGATAATCAATTATTACGTATTTTATTTTATTTTCACTTATTCTTTATATTTAAATCACAAGTAAAAAGTTAATTATTAATGATATTTCGTCAGCTGTCATGCAACAAATATGGTAGTGTGGAAGTAAAAAATCATTATTGGAATTATTTATAAACTATTCTAAAATAGAAATTTTATTTTATACTTTAATTGATACAATTAAATTTTTTATTATTAAATTATTTATTGTATTAAAGTAAAAAAAAAAAAAAAAAAAAAAATCAAATTAATTATAGAAAAAAATAACTTATAATAAAATTTATTTATTATATACTATATATATAGTATTATATTAAAACTTTTATTAAATATAAATTATTTTATTTATTATTTATAATAATTTTAAAAATTAATAAATAAATAATTTCAACTTATATAATTATAAAATTAAAAAAAAAATATTAAATTGGTTTATTTATATTTAATTTAGTTTTTCAATAAAATTCCTTTTATTTATTTCTTAATTACTATTTTAAAACAATATTTAACAATTATTTTTTTATTTTTGTTTAATAAAATTTATAAAATTTTTTTAATGTATTATATTAGATAAAATAAAAATTATAAACAAGTATAAACCAATTTAATTGTTATAAGATATATTTGTTAAGTTTTAATTAGTTATTAAGTTTTTGTTAATAATTTGAAGAAATAAAACTAATTTTAATTTTTTGTATTATAAAAAATTTTGTAGATTTTTAAGTAGTATAGTATTGTATATCAAAAGAATAATTAAGAAGATTTGATTAAAACAAGTAAAAGATTTAGTAACTTTGCTTGAATATAATTTTAAGAATAAATTTACAATATTAAGAATTAATATAAGAATGGTATTTAGAATTATTAAAAGAAAAAAAATACATAAAAATAAAGTTATAAAGAAAATTTGTTATAGGCTTTTTTCCATACAACTAAAGAACAAACAAGACTTTTTTAAACTTACTTGATTTTTTATTAGAGATCTTATTCAAATATAACAATGGTTTTTAATATTTTTATGTTTTTGAACTTATAACATAATTGATATATTAAAAAGAAAAAGTAAAGTAAAGTATTTTTTTTAAGAAAATTATTATAAAAAAAATTTTCAAAAAATCAGTAGTATATACTATAAGTAAGAGTTTTTTTTTTTATTGTTTTTTTTTTATAAAACCAAAATAATTATTAATTAAACTTTTATTTATAAAAAATTATTGATTAATAATATTACAAATATTGTGATTAATATGTGTATTTTTTTACTAAAAAAAGTTTAATATGAAATTTTAAAAAATAATTTATCTAGTTTAGTTTTTTTTTTTATTAACTATTTAAACAGTAGTAAGAAAACTATTAAAATCCATACAATTTTGAGTAGTATTTAGTAAAAGACTAAGAAGATTTGAGGTATCCAATTATATGAAAATATTATAACCAAATATATAGATTTGCCTTTAAGTTATAATTAAAATTTGATATATTTGCTTGTTAAAATAACTTAATATATAGTAGATAAAATTAATAAAAGAGAAAAAAAATTGATTTTCTTTATATATAAAAATATTGTAGCTACTTTTTATAGACTAGTCTTCAAGTTATATAAAAAGTTTGATATACATATTTTTTAAATATAATAAAAATGTTCAATAAAATAATGAAATTTCTTAAAAACATTATTATCTAACTATATATATATATATATATTATTAAAAAAAAAAAAAACTTAAAAAAAAATCTCTCCTGATCACGTCTATTTTGTTAAAAAAATTTTTTTTATGATAATTTTAAGTAAGAAAAGAAGTTTTACACTCTTTATCACAAGTGAGCCTTAGCTTAGGAACTTAAGAATCTTCAAGACAACTGGTACAGTGGAATGGGACCTCTGGTTAAAGTCTATTCAAGTTTGGGAGTCTTGCTAATCCTTCAGTTGCATGAGAAAAGGCCTGTAACAGTTCTCTTTTCTTTAGTTTTCTTGCACCCCACCTTACCCTTATTATATCATAAAAACCATATACATTATTATCATTATACTTGCTAAGTCAAATACTTTCCAAAACATATTTACAAATAGAGTTAGTGGATCTACTGTTTGTTTTAAGTCAACCCATATAT